TCGAAAAACATTACAAAAATGATAAAACTTACAAACATTACAAAATATACTAACAGTACAAAATACCACTACTTACCATATAAATCAGTAAACTTTTATTACAAATCAATGAATATAAAGTACACGAATTTTAACTCAAAGTATATAAACTAGACAAACAAACATTACAAATTATCATATATACAAATTAGTCATATAAACATTACAAACATAACAGACAAAATGGACAAACTAGAATGATAAGTAATACAAACCAAATTGATATAAACATTACATTTTGTACTAATAAACATTACAAAATAGTCCGACAAACATCACAAAGTTGTCGCTGCCACAAAAAAATCTCCATCGTTGGAAAATTCTCTCTGCTTTTGCAATAAATTTCGTCGCCGCTGTCGGAAAATCATTAACGCCTCTCTCTCTCTCTCTCCCTCTCCCTCTCTCTCAGGAGCTTGGAGGGGAAAATTCCCCATCGCCGGAAAAATGGTCAACTCTCTCTCACACACACTCACTCAGGAGCTTGGAGGGAAAAATTCTCCACTGGCAGAAAAGTGGACCCTTGCCAGAAAAATGGTCATCGACGGGACAGTCTTATCGCTGGAGAGGAAGGCTGTCGGATCCATTTATTTTGTTTTAATTACTAAATAAATAATGGAGTTAATTAGGATCCTTGGATCTAAATTAAAATGAAAGGCTGAGATACACTTAGACACCTGAGTCCATATAACTGTCCTAACAACGAGCAAGACTCGCGTAAAAAAGTACCAACCTGAGCATCAACAATCGATCGAGTCTCCAATTGACGCATCACTACTTGTGCATCGCATGTGATAGTGATTACGTGGTCCTACCACTGCAGCCAGAAGTTCCACCACCGCAGGATAAAAAATGCGAGAAGAGGAAAAGCGAGATTGCTAGCATCTACTAATTGGGCACACTTTTGCATGGATCACGTTGACTTCATCTGTTTAGAGTTTGAAATAGGAAAGCTGATAGCTCTTCCTCTTCTAGTCGTTGATTCCCCGCACCAATCTTGGAGAAGAGGAAGGGCTCGATGTGAGGTAAGTTGAATGTATCCCTTCGGCTCGTCAGAGACCATAGTTAATAGTGCCAACTAGATAACAGAGGAGGCATTTAGTAATTCGGTGTTGAGGTGTTACTGTTGTTTATTAGGGGACGCTATTTTCTTGGTCCTGCCACATTTTATTTTCTTGAGCGACCAATTTCACCTTTACTTTACTCAGGACACTCAGAGATAGGCCTAAGTTCAGGTCCTTAAGGACTCTTTTTTAAGGAGGAACTTAAAGCCTTCTGATTGGCTAACTCAAAATTAGGTAGTTAGTAGGGAGTTATTAGTTAAAAAGTTGTTAGGGGTATTAAGGAGAATACAATTAAATTAAAACATGCGTATTTTTTTTTTCAAAAACCCTAACTCATTGCTTTCGTCTGTTTATTATTCCTCCCGCAAGAAGAGCGACCGTCCGTCTCCCCGACTTCTCCGGCTGTCGTCCCAACTTCTCCGTCCGTTGTCCGGTCGTCCCTTCTCTGTCCCGAGTTCTCCGTCGTTCGGTCGTCCCTTCTCCATCCCGAGTCCATCAGCCGTTGTTTCCGTCTCCCTCCCGCTGAGATTTCCGGCAAAGGGCAGCAGCCAGTCGTCGTGCCGACGATTCCGTCCCTTCTCCGTTGTTTCCGTCCCTTCTCCGTCGCAAAGCCTTCGCAAAGCACAACAGCCCTTCTCGATTAGTCGACGATTCCGTCCCTTCTCGATCAGCGGTTGTTTCCGTCCCTTCTCCGTCGCAAACCTTCGCAAAGCACAACAGCCACTCGTCGGCGGCAGTAGCCTTCGGAAAGCACAGCAGCCGGCCGACGATTCGAGTTCTCCATCCCGTTGCTGCCGTCGGCCGACGATTCGAGTTCACCATCGTTGAGTCCTTTCGTGATCTCGTTTCAACTCTCAGCCTCTCGTCGGCGGCGTTTTAAGGTATTTTTTCGTCTCCAATTTTTTTGCCGGTATTTTGTGGATTTTTGGCGTTTCATGGGATTAGGGTTTTGGCGCTGCATGAGATTAGGGTTTTGGCGCTGCATGGGAGGAGTAGGCGCGCGCTGCACAATAGTAGGTCCATTTTTAATTTATTTGGTGTCTGTTATTAATAATTTCGTGGACGTTTGCAGAGTTTTTTCATCCCATTATTAATCAACCTGTTCTCGTTCTCAACCTTTTGGATCTATTATTAATCATTCCGTGGGCGTTTGGAAACCGTGTTGTGTCTCTATTATTAATGAATACGTGCTCGTTTTTAATTTTTTTGCTCTCTATTATTAATCAATCTGTCATGCAAGTCAATTATTTGTGTCCATTGTTAATCAATCTGTGCACGTCAATTTTTCCGTCTACAATATTTATTTCGTATTTGTGAGGTTTTTTCGTCGCGTCGATGCATGGGATTAGTCGGTGCTTACAGTATTAATGCTTTGCATTATTAATGATTTATGGCCAATTACTAACACACAAAAGTCATTTACTTACAGTATTAATGCTTTTATGGGCAATTATCAACAGAGTACAATATAGCTAGAAATATTAACACACAATATTAACAACAAGATTATTAATATTTTCATTTACTTTATTAACATATTTACGTACAGTATTAATGATTTTATGGCCAATTACTAACACACAAAAGTCATTTACTTACAGGTATTAATGATCATTATCGACACTAACGTACAGTACTAATGATCGTTATCAACACTACTAAGTTATGTTATTTATTAAAATTTTATTTGTGTATTGATCGTTATTGGAGAATGGGTGGTTATTAATGATTTCGTGGACGTTCTTTATAATTTTTTACAGTGGTCCACAATATGGCACGTACGAAGAATACAACGCGTAAGTCTGCATCGTTTAGTAAGCCTATGAAGAAAAAGGAAGATGCACCCATAGCTGATGACAATCGCTTACCAATCAGGTGCAGTGTGTCTCAGGTCTGCAAAATCGTTAAGAATATTAGCCCAAGTCGTGCGGCTATACTTCGAAACTATGGGTTCAGCTTCGTTCGTAACTTGCAGATGCGTCGTATTGACCAGGATTATTTGCGCTTGATAAATGTTAATTTTGATGGTGAGTGAACGCACGACTAGCATTTTTAATTGGATTTATTTTCCTCTTGTGTTTTCAACTTTATCCTTAGTCATTATCCATAAAATTTGCTTCAGTAGTAATTGTGAGCACCTGTCCTTGTAACATTTTGTAGGTCTGTCTATGTCGTTCCAGATGCCTGGCGGGGTACGTTTGTATCTTACCGAGGATGACGTCGAACACGTGTATAGCTTGCCCAAGGGTACCAATATTGTTGATCTTGACATCTTCGACCAGCGCAATACAAAGGAATGGGCGTTGGCTCTTGGCATATCCACAGTCGGCCCAAATATGATCGACCTAATGCACTTGAAGAATGACATGAGGAACATAACCGATGATGAATCTTGGGTGCGATGTGCACTTTCTCATATGTGCATTCCTGGACCGGACCGGTGTGTCAAACACACCTGGAACAGTTTCTACCATTATACCAAGTTGTACGTTATGGAATGAGAAACGAGAGTGTCAGGGCGGAAGGAAGCAGTCCTTAGTACTTCCAATGATCTGAGGGTTGTCCCTATATTGGATTTTCCAGGGTCTAAGACCAATAAGAACAAACTGGTGGAGGAGATTTGAAAAACTGGGGCTAAGCATGTTGATTCTATGGGCATTGCTAGAGAGGTTTGTTCAAAAGGGGTGCAACCAGAGAATTCTGATGGGGGAGAATCTGAACAGAACATGAAGCCCAAGTCGCTGTTCGAACTTATGTCCTTGAGGACCGACCACATGGACACGAATGAGGTTAGCCTCTTAATTTTTATAATTATCAATGTTATTGTGTACAATATCAATATTTTTCGGCCTTATTATCAACTAAATTTTCGGTTCATTATGTCTTCAAAATGTAGCTTTTGTATATGCGGAAGGAGGCTTTAAGCTTCCTTGCAACGCTTCGCGGTCAAGTGACCTTCTGATCAAAAGACTGGTTGGTGTTTGCGAGTCAGAGTTAATCAGTCGTGACGTCGCCTCATTTGATGATGAAGATGAAGCTGTCAACTGCTCGGCCTCTAGGGAGGTGACTGTTCCTGAGTTTTCGGTGGAGGGATCTGCTTCGAAAATTGCATCCCCACCTGCCAAAGGTCTTGGAGAGATTTGCACATCGATTGATAACCCCGGTTAGTTTCCTACAAATTTAATGACAATTATTAACTAGGATTCCCAATTCATTACTTTTATAGAATTTATTATCACTATTTTCATACGATAATTAAATTTGCCATCCTTGTATTATATTATTAATCAATTTATAGTCGTTGTTAACATTTTCTACATAGCATATTCAAAATTACATATTTTTTTATTAACAAATAATGTCATAACAATATTGATAATAGGTTTAAAAATATTAATGAATTGGTATTAGCAGTTAATAATCGTGTATGAAGATATTGATAATAGCTTTAAAAATAGTAATGATTCGAGATAACATGTTAATAATCGTGTATAAAAATATTGATAATAGGTTTAAAAATATTGATAATACGCCTTGTTAGCATTAGTCACAATTTACTGTATCGGAGGCTACAAGATTAGAGAAGACATTGGCATCCGCTGTGCTACTGTTGATAATGATCCACTTGTACCTAGCCCCAATGATCAAGATGCTGAAGTTGCTAAGAAGGCTGACAAGCCTAAGGTGGGCAATGCATGGGCGAGGACATACAAGTGCAAGAAAGGAAAGGATATCTCGGTTGTGGAAGGAGAGGACGAGGCCAAACCACGTAAGTGGCCACAGAGGGAGATTAGGCCATCTAATCTTGTCTCTTCTCCATTCACTGCAGGGACAAAGATAGATACCCTAGATGCTCCTAAGAAGAAGACAAAGAATGATCTGCCCTTATGTTTCATACTGGATCCTAATAAATGGGAGGACTTGGTGGTGTGCTATGCTTGGAATCCGAGAATCACGATGTAAGTGATTTTCTTCTTCTAACACCAATCACGAATGCCTTGTTTATGACATCGGTTCATCAAAATGATTCCCCCCTTCATTTTTAATATAGAAAAGAAGAGTTACGAACTCTGAAGGACAATACTCTCTCGCTTTGGAGGGAGGACACGCAATCATCCGCACCTGACACCTACATTGAAGACGCCTTCGTTGATTGTTATTCTGATTATCTCAATCGTCTTGAAGTGAAGAAAACCAATGGTTCTGTCACTAGATGGATTTTCATGTCCCCATTTGTGGTATTTTTCCAACTACCAATGCTTATATGTTATTTTTTAGTTGTTTAGTTTTCTTGTTACCGCTTTCACATTCTGCCTTTTCTTTGTCTTATAGCAAAACTTGCTGTCATTTGACGAGGAGAATGAAGTCGTCCAACCAGGAGATACAGAGCCTACTCAATTTCCTGTGCGGAGAATGTTAATTGATGAGTTTGAGACAATCGCTTGGCTTGAGGACAAAACTATGACAAACTACATTTTGTGAGTATCGTTCCTTAAATATTTCCATTATTAACAATTTTTATTCCATTTAATATTTTAACATTTGTTAATAATATATCACATCAGTAACATTTAACATACCATTTGTAACAATTTCCTTTTACCTTTTTGCAGTGGTTTTTTCCTGTGTGCATCGCAACACACTATGTCGTTTACTGTGTTGACATACAGAAGAAACAATACCAATTTATGAACGACAAAAAATCAGGTTGGGATGGAACACCGTACAAAAATTTGGGGGAGAAGCTTATCAAGTTCTTCATTGCGTTCTGTTGCTGGACAGTCAACCGTTGCATTAATTTCGATAAGTTCACATAGGAGACTGACCTTGGTTTCAAACAGTCAAATGACACTTTCTGTGGTGTTTATGCTCTCAATTTTATGGAGTTTTGGAAGGGGACTAGGGAGCGCGGTTGGTAGACCTTGTGGGATAATGATATCTACATCAACATGAGCAGAGCAGAATGTTGCAGACGTCTGTTGCTGGACGAAGCAAACCTTAAGCTTCCATATCTGACAGAGCAGGTAAACAGGGACGAGTTACTACAGATTGCTTCACAATTTGGATCCCAATATGGCTAGGATTATTTCGTCAGTTGTTGCAAACTTGGCAATGTTCTGAATTTTTTCGTTTCTCTATGATTCGGATTCCGAATGAATTATTTCGTCGGTTTTTGCAAACGTGGCAATGTTCATAATTTTTTCGTTTCTCTATGTTTTGGATTCCGACTGGATTATTTCGTCGGTTTTTGCAAACTTGGCAATGTTCAGAATTTTTGTTGAATGTTTATTAACAGTGTATCTTATCATTAGTTATCAAGTTATTAGAACACGATTGTTAACGACCATTGATTATTAGTGTTTTTAGAACACGATTATTAACTTTTTCTCCCAATTCATTAATAGAATTTCGATGAGTTATTAGAACACGATTAGAATTTCGATGAGTTATATTATCATAAGTTTATTTAACAGTGTTTTATTAACGACCATAGATTATCAAGTTATTAGAACACGATTATTAACTTTTTCTCCCAATTCATTACTATTTTTAAACCTATTGTCAATATTTTGTATGACCGCCTGGATTGATAGAAAACACTGTAATTAAAACGTATTTAACCACTGTAATTATTAATACGCTAGATAGAAAATGTTAATAACTCTATTTACACTACATATATGACCAGTACATAGTTAATAACTATAGTTATAGAATATGTTAATAACGGGAATTATTAATTCTATATCATATCATTAGTAAGAAAATACACTACATATATGACCACTACAGTATTATAATATATATCAATTTTTATAGGTAATATTATCAATTAAATATTCATCATTAGTAATAATTATGAATATTATAACCTTCTTTATCTATCTTTTTCTAAAAAATACGCTAGCCTTCGCAAAAACAATAACTGATTACAAGTGCCACATAATAATAATAATAATAATAATAATAATAATAATATTTTCACAAATAGAACTCTGTTTGGTGAACAACGCATAGTCCAAACACCTCTAGCAATCGAGTCCAACAAACCATGTACTTCTACACTAATGTGCAGTCCAAACACCTCATGTATGGTTAAACCTTCTGCTTCTTGGCAGCCTTTTTTTCCTTGTCCTTCTTTGTCTTATTCATTTCCTTCGCCCTCTTCTCCCTGGCAATCGCTTGTTTACTCTTCAACCTTTTCCTCTTCCGGGTCAGGTCAGGCCTCTCTTTGAAGACGGTTGTGGAAGGATGTTCACCCTCATCGTCCGACCCAGGATTATCCCAATAGTACAAAAACAAATGATCACACATATGACATTGATCACACATATATATAATAATACATGAAACGCGTTTTTTTCCCCAACCTGGTCGGATAGGAGGTGCAAGGGTGTCCTTCAGCATTGCTTCTATTTGGGATTTTATAGTGTGAAGACTTTGTAGTAGGAACTCGTATACGCTGTCGTGCATGCATACATTTGTTACAATAGAGTTCACCATTCTAGTTACCTCCTTCACCCTTGAGCATTGGATACCTTCAAATGTAGGACTCGAATTCAATGTTGCAAAACCGCCTTTTGTCTTCACCGCACGTGACCATCGGTCTAATAGGGTACCTCGACGGAATTGTTGACAGTTGTGGATATTGTGCATAACCCTTTAGTTTCATGAACCGTAGTATGTGCCGACACAACCAACCACAACTCTCAAATTTCATGCACGAGCACTTGAGAATGCACTGTGGTACATCAACCAAGACAACCCTCTCGTCCAACTTCGATCCATCATTTTCATCGATTTTCCACACATCATATGCAACCATGTCATCTTGATGTTTTTCCGCATTTATACCGATATGGAAGGCATGACTATTAGCATATTCCTCCTGGAACTCTTCAAAAACAGTTGGCGTGTAGAAGCTAGCTCCTTGTTGGAGGAAATTACTTTGATGTACCTGTCAGTTGATAATTATCAATAAAAACGGAATTATTATTAGCTTAATCATTTGGATTATTAACAAACAATAGTAACAACAAGATTATTAATCTTTTCACTTACCTTATTAACATATTTACGTACATTATTAATGATTTATGGCCAATTACTAACACACAAAAGTCATTTACTTACAGTATTAATGCTTTTATGGGCAATTATTTACAAAGTACAATATAGCTAGAAATATTAACACACAATATTAACAACAAGATTATTAATCTTTTCATTTACTTTATTAACATATTTACGTACATAATCACTGCGCACTTCTTGAGCTCTTTTTATCTCCAACATCGCGTTAAATTGAGTGAAAAACTGGTGTAGATTTTCATTGGTGTTCAAAAACTCCCGGAGGACGGAGTTGCATGCCTCACTCAGCTGTGAACTCCGCATTCCAGCAGTGAATTGCTTGTTTACCCATGCGGCTGACCATTTCTCCTTCACCTTAAACATACGATTCAACCAGTGGAAATCAAATTGCTCGGGTGTCTCCACATCATACATCAAGTAGCTAATACATTCATCCACTTTACCTTTCCAAACCTTCTTGTCCTTCCCATTCTCTCTAAGATGGTATGTGCAAAGCCCATGAAAAGTCTTCTTATCCGATATATCGTTATTGATGGCGCTTTTAATACCATCAGCAATTGCAGCAGCCTAGTCCGTGAAGATCGATGTTGGTCTCTTCCAGACATGCACTCCATAAAAGTTCTAAACAACCACTCGAACGACTCTGTAGTCTCGTCATACAGTAGAGCAGCTCCAAACACACAGAGTTTTCTACAGGAATAGCTTCCATCAATCCAAAATACTGCAGACATCTCCTCGTTCACGTCCACTGACACCCTATAAAAGAAGGAGGGATCACATCTCTGTTCCTCCTGAAAGTGTCTATACAGGAATGAGGCCACCCCATACTCCATTGTCTTCACCCTCACTGTTCTAATGCAATTCTTCAAGTCCTCTGGAAGGAATCCAACATTCTCCCTACCACCAGCAGCCAAGCAGAATGTAGCATAGCTAGATTCGTTCATTTTAGAAAGACAAAGTTGAGCTTCAGTGATATTCCTGTTAGAACGATGGAAATGCTTCGCCGATGGGTCGTGCATCTCATGATTGTGCTCATCTACCCAATCATCAATGTAATAGAGGTTGGTTCGTTTATCCAACTTGAAGTTTATCCTCGCTTGACACCCCCATATGTTCTCTGCCCTACTCCGTTTCCAAACATTATTATCAATTCGTCCTCCATTCTTTGGATTCTTCGCGCTTTTTTTTCCTGTATCCTCCTTTCGTACATGCGCAATAGATGTAGTGATACGTCTCACAAAATTCATTCTTTGTGTTCCTCTTAGGAGCGCTTTCCTTCCTCATGCCAAAGCCTTTGTGATGTGCATACTCTTTATAGAATAACTCTGCATGATCCCTGGACACAAACCTATGCTCTATCCATGTCGATTCATTTGCAGGATCAACCAGATCAATCTCTACACAAATTATCAAGAAATTGGTTAATAATGGTGCACATTGTTTTACTTGTTAATAAGACAATTGTTATAAATTCGACTTACCCATGTTATCAATATTAAAATCACGAATGTCCATGACTGGTATAACACTAGCATCATTCGTATGAACATCATCCACCACTCCTGCAACATTGAACACATCACGTCACTAGCACGAGTTTTATCAATCCACATATATACAATATTAGTCAACTAACCTTCACCTTCTACATATAGATTTTCTACTGTAATCTCGTCTTCGCTTCAGTCATTGTTATTGGAAATATCTTCACCTTCCAAGCTGACATCACAAGGTACTTCATTCAGATCTGCAACGTTGAAAAATTAACAAAACTATTACCTTTAATTATTAACAACTACCCACTTCATTATTAATCTTCCCTTCTCCGATTATTAACCTAAACCCTTTAACTTTTAACAATTAACGATGAATTATTAATCATTCCTCTCGGATTAATTATTAACAACCATCGACATCATTACTAATCTTTCCTTCTTGGATTATTAACCTAAATCGACAATGAAATTTTTCATGCAAAGTTTACTATTAACCTAAACACTTTAAATATTAACAACTACCACATGAATTATTAATCATCCCTCTCCAAGTAATGACTTTTACTTATTAACACATTGAATTATTAACCATGTCCTTTTTAATTAATAATTTAAAACTACTAACAATTTACGTGCAAAGTGGATTATTAATTTAAAAATTTCAATTATTAACGACAAACACAAGTATTATTAATCAACAGTAAGTAACCTAAAACGACATTGAAGGATTACATACAAAGTTTATTATCAATTTAAACACCACAAATATTAACAACTAAAGAATGCATTATTAATTATCCCCCACCAAGTTATTATCCTAAAACAAATAACAATTTATGTCCAAAATGGTTTATT